ATAGATGGCAGCACTAGTATATATCATATTAGCTTTAACCCGCGGCTTCGCGTCTGTAGTCACAGAAGAAGTAACAATGAAGTAGAATGGCGGGAAGTTTAAAATGGCTGAAAGTATAGTCTATGGAAGTATAGTGTACAGTCTCCATAGTGTAGTCAATTGGATTTGATGTTGACGTAGCTGTCGGTAATACAGTGTGATAATACAGTGTGATGGTACTATAGTACTTAGGTTTGAGCTTCATTGCTGGAATGCTAGATGGCGTTAAAGTAGTCAAATAGCCAGATGCAGAGGTATTATTGGCTAAACATTATCTTTATTTTATTTAAAAAATAATTATTTTTATTAAATAAAAAGTAGCCTATAACCATTCGGGGACCACTAAGAAGATGTGTACAAATTTTCATGATGATCGGTTAAGTAGTTTTTGCGTGAAAGTGTAACAAACATCAGTACTTTCGCATTTATAATATTAGTAGGGATATAATATATTTATGAAGTTACCACAGCAATAGCATCATGTTTGTAGACATTTAATTCGTGGATGGCAAAGTTGGATATCTAAACGATGCGAGAGTGCGCACAGATGGCGCTGCAGGCGTATATAATTTCATGCTTGTTCGCCTCGCCTCGCCACCAAAACACATATCGAATAACAAGATTCATTCGAGCCTCATTCAATGCGCGCTCGAATCAACTCGAATCAACTCCGCAACTTCCAACCACCGCGGTTCGCCGCTTTAGCCCTCATCATCTCTGGCTTTTCAAAATCAGCGCGCGGCTGGCAACTTTCTTCACGTGAATTCATAAAATACAAACGCGCAAAACTAAGCCGCGATGCCTCGAGGATGAAGTGCTGCAAAATGCGGCTGCATTCGCTTGTGGTGTGGTGCGGCGGTAGTGGATAAGGGTGGAATGGGGGAGAGTGCGGTGAATACACCGGATGACCGGCTCGAACGCGTCTGGTCGGAGCGGCAAATGAACTTGTTTAATGATTCATTATCTTCGGTCAGTCCGGAACAGACCGCCAACTAATAACCGGCGCAAAACCACCCCGCAGCAGTACAACACAATATTATACACGGGTACAAATTGATTGTAATCAATATCAGGAATAATAAAAGTATTTTTTTACTTCCGGTTTTAAAATATTAGTTTTTTTATGGTTTTAGACATAAAAGTGTTTTTAGTCATGGACGTGTAAAAATACTTTAGTCATGGGTTTTAGTCACGGGGTGAAGCTTTTAATCAATCTCGTGACTAAAACTTGCTTTTAACCACTTGATTTTTAATATTCTATAAAATATAAATAAAAAATAAAAATCAACGCTTAATTAGTAAGTACTAAAGTACTTTAGTCACGGGTTTTAGTCACGAGGTGAAGCTCTCAATCAATCTCGTGACTAAAACTCGCTTTTAACCACTGATTTTTAATATTCTATAAAATATAAATTAAAAATAAAAATCACCGCTTAATTAGTAAGTACTAAAGTACTTTAGTCACGGGTTTTAGTCACGGGGTGGAACTTTTAATCAATCTCGTGACTAAAATTCGCTTTTAACCACTAGATACTTAATATACTATAAAATATAATAAAAATAAAAATCAACGCTTAATTAATAAGTACTAAAGTACTTTAGTCACGGATTTTAGTCACGGGTGGAACTTTTAATCAATCTCGTGACTAAAACTCACTTTTAACCACTTGATTCTTAATATACTCTAAAATATAAGAAAAAATAAAAATCAACGCTTAATTAAATTTGCACTGATATTTTTCAAAAAGCCGTCACGTGCCGGCACGTGTAATGCAATTAAATATCCTCCTTAGGAAAAAATTCCGCAGGTCATCCACTATCTCGGACCCTCCTCACCGCAGCAAATTAGAAAACGGAAAACCGGAAAAGCTGAGCGCGGAAAAAACAACCAGCATCCAAATTAGCAAAAACTCTCAACCTACGAGGGCCCAGCAAAAGATTGTGAACTAAAAACTCTCCCAGAAATAAAAGTGGGTTTTCCACTGGCGAAAAAAGACGCGCACGTACAACAGGAATTACTTTATCTACCCATATCTTCTCTTTTTGCCGGCGGCAATTCCAACAACCCTTGCGGTTGCGCTTGTGGGTTTCTTATCGCCGTTCCGCATGTCCGAATGCGCGACGTCAGTTACGACGACGTGTCCCGCGTGCGGGAGAGCAAACCGTTCGGTTTGCGGTCGTCGAAATTGCTCCCGAATTTTAACATTCGTTTTCGGACAAGTCGAAACCACGTAAAAACTATCCTGGCATGCAATCACTTGAATAAATACACAAAATACACAAGAATGTATTTTTTTCCTATTTTTGCAAAAAAAAAAATTTAAGGGATGAAAAAGTTTGTGGTGGCACACATTGTGGTGTGAAATATACGCGTTATGTATCTATCTAAATCGTAAAATTTCCCGACGGCGGCGAGGAAATATGCGATATGCTCGCGCATAAATTCCAAAAATTTTCACCCCCCTACGCTGGCGCTCGTGGAAGGAAAAACATCTTTAGCATATTTTCGAGTGATTTAAAGTATGTCTCGAACGTCGACACACGGATAACACTATACAGAGTGTTGTACAACCTCAAAATCAATCAAAAACAAATTTTTAAAAAATTTTCCCGAAAAAAATTTCTAAACACCCTGTATAGATGCTTTCAACAATGAAAACTCCACAGAGACCATACACAACACCACCACGTCTATATATACACATGCCACGCTGAGATTTCACCTTTTTTCTTCTCCTCCTAGAGGTTTTGAAAAGAAGCCCAGGAGTGAAGGAAAAAAAAGAATGAGGAGATTCATGCACCCTTAAAACCGTCCATCACACGCTACAAGCGTATCCACCCTTATTTTGACCATTATCAAACAAAATAAAACCCATGGGGTTGTTTTCTCCATGTGAGGTCTTCTAGTGTGAAACTGTAATTATCTAGGCACGTGAAAGCGAAAGAAGAAAGGAAGTCAACATTCTACTAGTGCCTCTGTTACCACCTTTAAGGGGTAGTTTCCAAAGACCGTTTTGGGTCTATACGGCACACGGCACGTGGCGCGTTTATTAGTTAATGCACTAGATACCAAAACTATATACACGAACAGTCGAGTTTCCGGTTTGCTTCCCGTTCAACGCACGCTTGAGGAATCTATGTAAGGGTGGTTGTATAAGACCTGAGACGTCAATCTATGCGAGAGTGCCTTCTACCTGGACTTTGGGGTACTGGGGTGCCTTTCATACATTTCAGGTCCTAACCACGCCGAGACCACATCAACCCCTCTCTTTACTCTTGATGTCCTCTTGTCTTGAGGTTCCAGGTTCTATCTTGGTGGAGATATCTGTGAGGAGCTGTAATGATACGTAAACTTTCTCTACAGGCCATTTTCAACTACCATTCAACATCCCCTTTTATCTGTCTTGGCTGTGGACATTATTCGACCGTCGAGAGTCTTCGGAATTCACCGGCGGGATGGACGAAAAATTATTGCATGATATTTTTCGCCAAAGACCCTAACCTCAAATGGGGACGTTTTAGAATAGGCCAGGGAGGAAAAAGTCGGATAACAAAAACGGACAGCGGATAATCATACTTTTAGTTTTGTACAAAGAGCAGCAGGAGGGTTGTAGTGCTCTTGAATGTAAGGGTGGATGTGAAAGATGAATTGATAACATAACTAAAATTATTTTGAAGCTTTTTTGAGGAATTACATTAAAAAATCAATAAAACAACAAAAAAGTTTTTGTTATTTTGACCTTTGATATCAATGATTTAATAGTTGATTTAATTATTGTTAATTATATTTTGTGTTTTATTAGCTGTGTAAGTAGTAATCAGTAAAAATCATTGCGCATTCTGGCAACGTAGCGGAAGAAAAACAACAAAAAACCATTTACTATAGTTTTAGCGCACCGGCACTAATTGGATTAAGGTGGGTAGGGTGTGAGATGTCCCAGGGTGCGTACGACCCCAAAACGTCCGGAAAAAACGAGCGGTTAGCGAATATTAGCCCGAAAAATGTACGCGCACACCTCCCACGGGGACAATAATCGCGTGCTCACCAGTGGAAATAATAAAAAAATTCACACCACAGCACTAAAGTACCAAAAATGTGAAAAATACAGAGTCAAACTAAAAAATAAAAAAATTCAAAAAATAAAAATTGAAATTTTTTAATTTTTTGGTTTTAAATACAATCCTGTTGTTTAGCTGAGTAAAAAACATTCGTAAATATTGATTTTTTAGCGAATTTTTGTTATCAGACGTCATTTTAAGGACCAAAAAAATAGATTTTAATTAATTTGATTTTTTTATAATCAGAATCATCAAAAATAATCAAAAACTCTTAAAAAACTGTGTCACAATATCAACGGCTTGACTTACAGTTGAAAAATCAACAAGTTGTAAAATTAGTTGATTTATAAAAAGTTAAAAATCTGCATGAAGCAATATAACCTCCAAAGTGCAAATAAAGGCGTGTGCGCATGTGTCTCAGTAATGACTAATTCACATATTCAAACAATTTCCAGACGACGCAATACTAAACCAAAAACAAAAAAATCCTCCTTGCGTTTTGTTACAGTTTCTACAACGGTTTATTTCGTCTCACATCCACTTGTTGGCTTACGCAAACAAAACGCACGTTTCCACTTTTAGGTTAACAAAATCCCATGATTTTTATTCCGAGAAATCTCATCGATTTCAAAACTTGTCATCGTGTTTAAAGTGTGTAATACCTGGGAATTTTAAACTTTCATCCAGATTCGGTAACGTTTCAACTCGACTTATACCCAAACACACATCTCGTGTTATCTTATCGTTATCTAGTTTATCGTGTCAACACATTTAGTAAATTCGCAGTATTACAAGTTCTATACATTACGTTATAACTAAAATTACATTTCGATTGTTTTTCAGCTCATTTTTAATAAAAATTTAATTGAAATCATAAAAATTTTAAAATAAAAATATCTTACTTGGCTGTTTGTGTCTGTTTCAAATACGGATGCACACGATTGGCATTGTTGTCCAACCCGGAGGACGTCGGGCTGACCGCCTGCACGGTGGCGCCCGGCGACAGCTTGCCGGCGAGCGTGTCCAGCGAGTGCAACATGCTGCTACGTCTGCTGGTCCTCGTGATGCACAACTTGAGCGTCACCGAAATGATTGCGATCGCGCTCACACACTACTCACACATCACACTGTACACACACCTCTCTGCGGATAATCTCTGCGTGCGTAACCGTCGCACCTCACGACGAGACTGCGTCGAATGCGCTCAGCAAGCGCATCGCGAGCCTCATATCTTATCTCGATAAATATTATACACGTACACACAGAATATTCACAAATCGTGAAAAACGGCAACAACGCCGTTTATGTCCGAGGCACACACGCGCACGTCGTCAGCGGACTTGGGGATGTCACGTGCGATTTGAAAAACTCGTCAGGACGAAAATTTTTGTGTTTTTTTTTTATTTAAGAAAAAAAATTTAATTATTGAGCAGTTTATTTGTTTGTAAAGTGTTTTGAGCCTGAAAATTCAAAAAATATTTTTTTTGATTTTTTGAGGTTAAAAACAAATAAAAACGTTTCAAGACCTTATGACAGGACCACAACACACCGAATAAACCAATTTTTGTTATCACATCCAACGCTGTGTGTAAATATAATGTTGTAAAAAATCCCACACTACCGGAATCACAGATATTTATTTTTCTTTTTCTTGTTTTTAGCTGAAAATTCCTGACACTTGACTCGTCCACTCTAGAGTCTAGCAGAACACTAACAGAATAGTATAGTATTGGTAGATAAACGCGACAAACGTGATTCTCGTCGATCACATACCGACGCCGGCTGCCGCTGCCGTTGCACTGACACAACGCTTCCCGGTAGAGCGTCGCGACGCCGACCGGCCAACAGCGGCGTGGCGCATGTGCGCGATCCTGCCACCACCACCACAACCACCTCCCGGCGCGCTTGTCTTTTCCGTGCAAAGAAACAGAGAGCGGCTGAATATCACCGGGGAAGAAACGTCCTCCTGCCCGCCAAACGACGTGCGACATGCGATGCACACGAATACTAATAGAGACGGCGGCGGCGGCGGCGGCGGCGGCGGCGGCGTCGGCACACTTACTGTTCAGGTGGGCGCACTCTCAGCGCGTGCATTCTCTGAACACAAAGGAGTTTTCAGTTTTTCAGTCGGATGTCGCTTTTTTGGTAAAAGGTGCATGCGGGGCTTTGTGTCCAAAGGACAATGACATAAGACATCATCCTACATTCGTATTAAATAAAAAAATAAAAAAATAAAAACAAACCGGAAATTGATTAAAATTCAACAAAAAATTAAATTTTTTTTTTCATTTTTTTGTCTAAAATTGTCAATATTATGATTATCCTTTCCTGTGTGTCATTGTTATCCTTAAAAGCAAGTAGACATGGGTCCTTTATCCACCCAAACGAGTAGGCAGTATATATTCATGCATTCATGCGTGATGCCCGCTTCCCAAAGTTCTCTTTTTTCTTTCAGAGAGAAAAAAAAAATGTTTTGCTTACAATACAGAGCGTGGTACCAGCCTGCTAGTGGGTACTCTCCGCAGGAGGTCCTTATTGGACTCGGGAAACTATTTGCTTCGATGTTCCCAATTCCTTCAAGCACACATGTGCGCCCCCGAACGCACGCACTATGGATATTTCATGCATTCATTTCCGGGCGTTGCGGGAGTTTTGCTTTCTTTTCGGACAGGACATTGAATACATCCGCCCGTCGATGGATGGGCCAAGATTGATTGTTATTCGGCGACGCGTTGATTAATGAATTTTGGAAGTGAAGGTGTTGAATGCATTTTATTCTCAGTCTTGGTGTGAGTTTTGACCTACTTAGTTGGTCTTAAAATTATTTTGAAATTTTTTTTTTTTTTTTTGTTTTGAGGATGTAATATTGATTTTTAATTTGTTTGTTTGACCATTTTGTAGAGATGAAAAAATACAGAGGAAGGATAACATCTTTGTGTGTGCGGCTCGTGCAGCGCTTGAAATGAACAGGAAAAAAGGACGAGAATGGTCAGAGTCGTGGAGATTGCACGACTGATTCGCGTGCGCCGGTTGTGCTCCTTTGCTGGCATCATCCTTCAACCCGGCACGTACAAAGGTCATGTTGGCGGGATTTCCGCATGACTTTCGTCCTTGTAAGTAGATAAACATTACATGGATAAAGAAAAATATTTTCAAAGATTTTTTCAAAATTTTTGAAAAAACCAAAGTTTTTAAAAGGAAAATTTTATCTTTAAATTGTCATTTTTTACGGTTTTAAGACACAAAAGTTGTGTTTTTGATTTTTCAAAGCCTGACTAAAGTACTTTAGTCACGGGTTTTAGTCAAGGTGGAGATAAGTGATGCGGTTGCCTGCAATACAACACAAAATCATATAAAATGTCGTAAAGAAAACTAAAATCTTATTCAATATTTAAAAAACCTCCAAAATATGAAAAACCGGAAAAGTCCTTAAAAGATTTTTTTTTTTAGTCATCTTTAAATTGTCAGTGAAAACACAAAATGATGCGTTTGTTTCTACAATTCAACCCAAAACCAAATAAAATGTCAAAAAAATAAATTTTTAAGAAAAATAAAATCTTATTCAATATTAATAACAAAACCTCCAAAATATGATAAAAAAGTAATTGAACCTCTAAGAATCCATCCCCGAACACAAATTGCAACCGAATGACACAAAAGGTCGTCCAAAGATCTTCGCCGATATCAGAAGCACAGGAATAGTTGAAGAACCGACTAAACTTTAAGCTCCCAGCCGGCGCACAACGACAGACCGGAAAACGGAAGGACCTTACGTATCAGTGCCGACCTATCTGAATGGCTTCGGGATGGCCTTTTCCAATTTAAATCCTCGCACGATACAATAGATAAGTGGATACAGAATTGGGACAAGACGCAATAACTTCTTGTCCTCCTGCATCCGGCAAGTCACAACAAGAAATTAATCCAGTCGCGCACACAAATTGAAAAATTGCTATTTTTAGCAGGCATATTTCTACTCCACGAATAAGAAACGAACTTTGTTTTAATGTCCGCAACGAGGGATGATCTAGAATCGTGTCAGTGCACCCTCTCGAATGGGCGAAATTTATTGTGACCCATATATCATCAATCCCGTTAGAGGAGAGTTTTCTCTTCTTTTCCATTTGTAGAGATAGGGATGTGGAGAAGAAAAGAAAAAGGAAAAAGTTGTGCGTTGAAGGAAGGAGAGAAATTCATGGCAGAAACTAACCTAAAACTTTGACTAGCTCGATGATTTAGACGTTCGCACGCAAAACTACCCTCTAAAAACTTTTAGGGAAGTGTAACATTCCAATTTCTAGGTTAGAATCAGAAAGTTTTTGTTTTATAATAGAAAATTAAGTAACAAGTGACTAAACTAGAATTTTTGTCACAAGATTGATTAAGAGCAAGTGTAGGAAGTGTTTAATCAATAGAGTGTATAATAAGGTTTAGCCACGGGATGCCTACGCTATTTTTTTTAACTTTTATTGAATTTCCATGTTGAGTTTCTGTATTTGAATTTTTATTTTAAGTTTAGGCAAATGCGCAGGCATAAGCTCTACCCCGTGACTAAAACCCGTGACTAAAGTACTTTAATCACTTTTTAACCCTCAAAACCGTGGAAAAAGAAAAAATTAAATATTATATTCAACAAGTTAAAATTTATATTCCAGAGTGTATATTAGGTGAGTTTACAATGGTTAAAGCTCATCAATGCATGAACATGTCATTAATGTTCCTTCGATCGACCCGCGGCAGGCTGAATAACGCGAATAAGGGTTGTAAAGTTACATCTCACATCACAACCTAAAATTGCAACGTGTGCCTGCGTCTGGTAGGAGCGTTTAGTCGCAATTCATATTTATACACAAACAACCCTCGAGCAGGTGCGAGAAGGTTTCGGAAAGGGCTTGGAGCACAAGCAGCGCTGCTATTAATGGGATTTCTAAAGCATATGCGTTCGCCTGCATATGAAATCGTTCAGCATCCTCAAGAAGTTCGTCTCGTGTGTTAATAGCAGGCTGGTGGTGTTCAATGTGGAATGGGGCGCACTTAGCGAGATTAAGTGGAAATCCAACAGCGCAAATCGCAAATCCAAAGCGTCTAAACACACGCACACACACAGCGGGAGAGACGTGCGCAGGCAACCCAACCATCAGGTGCACAAAGCGATGATATTCCGCAGACAATGCATTCGCTTCCCTAAAATTTATCACTGCAGTGCAATTTCTCTTTTTAAACTACACATCACAACAACCACTCACCAATGTTATAATTTATAATTAATTAGTTGTGTGAATATTCTCCAAACACTCTGGATTTATTCCTATCTACATGCAGGATGTTTGTGGTCTTAACCTAACTCCTGCTGCACTCTAGAGATAATAAACAATCGCTAATTGTGCGTCTACATTTCTATATTCATGCGAGCACACAATTGCTCCTCCGCTGGGGAAGGAAATAAAGTTTCAAGTGCAGAGTGTGCGTTTAATCCAAACTTACATTCTTCGTTTTGCAACAATAACAAATCGCAGTAATGCTCATCCTGCGCCGGCAGGATACACGTTGTGTGGAAAGCTCAAGTCTTAAAAGTTTCAACTTTATACAGCGCGAGTCTCAAGACCGCATATAACTAACATAACTATGAGCTGGATAACAGTTGAGCAGTTGTATGAATATTATTCCACGAGTGGAAAAACTACAAACGAGCAGGTAACAAGATGAGATTAGTTGAGTTGGCATGTGGAAAGTTAATTTAAACTTTTTGGTATACAAAGTATAAAATTTCCATCCCGTGACTAAAACCCGTGACTAAAGTAGTTTAACCCGTGACTAAAGTACTTTATTCACGTTTTGTGTCTAAAAATTTTTGAAAATTGTTTTTTAAATGTGGATGAAGACAAAAATACTAAAACAAATAATTTTAGACATCCGGTTCCACCGCACCACGTGTTGCCACGTGGAAATCGGAAATTTGTGCATTTCTGGATTGACTAGCGGCTTTAATTTCCGTGCCAATCCGCTAAACGAATCGAGGCAGACAAATCTCACCGTTTCCGGTTTTCCGCCTTCACACCAACACTTTCCAAACTCTCCTTCTCCTTGAAAACTTTCCCCGTGTGCCAAAGAGTATATACCAAGGACCAATTTCGGGCATCGTCTCCAGCATCCCTCCCCTCATTCACACCGTCCCCGTTCTTATAAATGCGATTTCGTTAATGAAGTCTCGGCGAGTCGCAAACACACTCCAAGTAATAACATCAGCAGGGAATTGGATACGCGGGGGTGATTTTTAAGGGAAACTATTTTACGATCGCAAATTTTATATTTTAAGGGTGCTGAAATAATTTCAGAGGGGTGAATGATGAATTTTCATTTTCAAATTCATTCATTTCTGAAGGATCAGAATTCAAATTCAAATTCAAATGCAATGCGATCGAATTCGTAATTAGCTGACATTCTCGAAATGGTGTCTAATAATACTCGTACAAGGGTGAGGAAATTCGGGAAGGGGAGGC